ACAAAGAACTTGGTCCTTTGCCCTGGTAATACTTTTCTTAATAATTACGGCGCTATTTATTTTGTTAACGATAAGAATCTTTTTATGCTAAAGTTAATTTAGCGCTTTCGCTTAACCGACTTTATCAAAGCTAAAACGAATAGTCTTTTAATCGTCGAGCGAAAGATCAAACTCTTTAAAAAAGCTTTAAACGGATTAAATAAAACTAAAACGGAAGATTTAAAATTAAAAAACGTCGCTATCGTTAAAGGATTTAATATTAATATCATTTCGAAAGCTCTTTTAAGCAAAGCTAACGTATAATACTCGAGATATAACGCAATTCTTCGTTACGAAAAAGTTAAAGAAAGCGTCGTATTAAAAAAGTTAAAAAAGAAGTTTAATTTTACGTTTTTTAAATATAAGCTATTTAATTATTCTTTGCTTTAATTGATTCGTAGCTCCCTTTGCTTAATAATATTTCTTATTACTTAAAAGCGCTTGCAAACACGTTATAAATTTTAAAAAAGCAATGTCTTTCGAGCTTTAAAAAAAGATTTATCGATACTTTAATATTTACGAATAAGTTATCTTAATAAAAAAGCGCTCGAAGCGCTAGCTTATAACGTTAAAAAGGTGAGACTTAAAGGAATTATTAAAATTAAATATAAAGTATATGCTTTTACGCACGCTTAACAAATTATATTTCGCCGCACGTTAAATAATAAAGCAGCTAAGCTATTTTATAAAATCGCTTAAAATCTATTCGATTTTTTTAACGGTTTTAACGAAAGCAAATAATCATTAATAATTAAAAATGAATATAATAAGAAGCTATTCGGTTTTATATTAAAAGATAAGTTGCAATTAACGATTATAAAAGTGCTAAAGGAATTTAAAGCATGAAAGAAACGCAAATACGGTTTTTTAATAGTTATTATGCGCTATAATAACGATTTTTCGGTAATCGCAATTAACGTTATCGGCTTTATCGAATATCAAAGATAAGCGAAAGAGGTTAAGATCGAGTTAAAGCTTTTATTATTTTTTAATTACGAACTTAATAAAAGAGATAAAAAGGCTAAAAGAAAGGTGATAAAACGGTCTATTAAAACAAAAATAAAAGCAAAGCTCTTAGAAAAGCTTTGGCTTAAAACTATATTAGCCGCTATTTATTTTTATAATATAATACCGAAAGCGAAAAGCTTTTTAAAGAATCCGAATGAAGTGCTATAGCTTTAATTTAAATAATATTTTAAGTAATACGATCCGGCGATCTTTATACGGATCGATACCGACTTAAAACCAAATTATAGCGATTTGATTGCGTATAGCGCTCGTGCGTATTTAATAATTAAAGATCGAAAAGCTCTTCGTAATAAAAAAGCTTTTAAGGTCAAACCGAAAGGATATATAAGCTATTTAATTAAATATATAGCTTTTAATATATACAAAGTTTATATTTTTATGCTTTATAAAGTGATTATTATACGCAACGTAACGTTCGATAAGATTCGATTTTATTTTAAAAACGAAAAAAAATCGGTCGGGTAACCGATTAGCGAAATTAAAAGCATCGTTATTAAACTAAAAGATATTAAAAACTTTAATTAAATAAAAAACGCTTTATTTAATATAAAAAACGTTGCAAAAAAACGCTTAAAAGAAACGAATGCAGCTAATATAAAAAGTAAGCAGCCGTTAGACTTTATAAAGATTAAGCTAAAAAGATTTAGTTAAAGCTTAAGAAATGCGACTTTATTTAATTCGAGCGATATATAAATATTAAAAGCTTTAATTTTAATTAAAAACCTTATAAATACGTTTTTATTAAAAGCAATTGCTTTACGAGACGATCTAATAGACTTTGACGATTCGAATCATACCGCTAAACGTCTCGCTAGCTTTTTAACTAAAAGCAAAAGCGAAAGTGCTTTAAAACTATTAAAAGCAAAAAAAAGCACCGTAAGCGAGCAAAAACCTAGCTTTAATAAAAAAGCGCGTAAATCATACTTTTAAGTTATTATTTAAAGCCGAAGCTCGGAAAGCTAAGCTATAAGCCGATTAACGAAAGCTTTTACGTTAATAATCGGCGGAGATTTAAACCGAATAATCAAGAAAAAGCTTTTAAACCCTTTTAAAGCGAGCATTAATAATAAAAAATTAAACTATAAGCATTTTAAACAAAATTCCGACTTTAATAAAAAGCATTCACTTATTAATAGCCGCATTAAAAAACGCGCGAGAATATACGCAAGTGTTAATAAGCTTTTTTTAAATAACTTTTGCGCCGATTCGAGCTGTTATTCGCGCGTTTTAGATTTTATATCGATTTTCTAAGCTAATAGCGAACTTATACGCGAAAATAATAAAGATTACGAGATATTACACGCTATTATAGCAGCTATTATTTCGTTTAAGCTATTATTAAAATAGCTTAATCCGCAAGAACGAAAACATTTAAAACCTTTTATCTATTAAAAAAAAAAAGCTATAACGACACTTATACGGCAAAGAGTTTATAAACGAAGCTTTTATAAAGCTGAATAACTTAAAGAAAAGGAACTGCTAAAAAGTGATTCTCGAAAGCGAAATTAAATTAAAACTTATACTTTATAAGTAAGTATTTATATATAAGACTAACTCGTTCGAAAAGATCGTAAAGTTTAAATCGAAAATTATTATTAAAAGCGACTTTTAAAACGAATCTACGATCTATTTAATTTACGCTGCTACGCTAGCAGCTAAATCTTTTAAGATTATAATAACTATCGCAGCCGAATTTAATTTAAAAGTAAAATAATTCGACGTCGTTAACGCTTTTATTAACGCTTTAAGACATACGAATAGCGTCTTAATTACGTGTTATCTTTTTAATAGTTTTAAGCAAAAAGGTATGCTCGTAAAGGTCGATAAAGCTTTATATAGATTTAAAGACTCGTTAGCTTTATAATATTTCGATTTTATAAGCATATTCGATAAATTAAAGCTTATATTATTCGATAAGGAATCTTATATTTTCACGAATATAAATAAAACGGTTTTTATAGCGTTTTACGTAGACGATATTCAAATTATATATTATCTTTTTAATTTTTTTAAAGCTTAAAAGATTATTAACGGTTTAAACAAAACGTATAAAATCGAAGCGAGAAGAGATATTAAATGGTTTTTTAATATAAGAATCGTCCGCGATCGTTAACGAAGAACGCTAACGCTTATGCACGACGCTTATATTAAAAAAATAGCTAAGAAATTCGACCTTACGAACGGACGCTGCTTAGCAACTTTATTATCGTTTTATAACTTAATTGAAAATAAAAAGATAGCTTCGCGAAAGCAAGTAAAAGAATACTAAAAGAAGGTTAGATCCGTATTATATATAGCGATTATGCTACGCTTAAATATAGCTTTTGCAGCTTCTTAACTTTCCTATTTTAATACGAATTTAAGCGCGAAGCATTTTCGAGTTATAAATTAATATTTGCGATATTTATTTAGCTCGCGTTTTAAAAGTATTTAATATAGCTAGTTTAGTAAATCGGAGCTAGTAATAGCTTTTAACGCTTTTTACGCCGATAACGAAGAAACGAAGCGATCTTTTCAAAAGTATATTATGTTTTTATTTAAAGGTGCGATCTTTTAAAAAGCTTTAAAGCAAAATACAATCATTATATCATCTATTAAAGCGGAGCTTCTTAGCATAGCCTTTATAATAAAAAAGATTATAACGCTTTAACGATTTTTCAAAGAGCTATACCTTTGTTTTGCGGCGCTTTAAGTAATCTATTATAATAATTAATAAACTATTAGACTTATAGTTAATAAAAAAAAGCGTATTTTTACCAAGCTCCGTTATATCGATATTTATAATATATGGCTGCGCTAAGAGCACTTTAAAAGGAGCTTTCAAGTTTAATATCTCTTTACTAACGAGATATACGCTAATAGTTTTATTAAAAACTTGATTCGATAAAAGTTTAAGAGCTTTATTAAGCTTTTAAATTTATAAAACGCTCGCGCGTTTATCGAAAAGCTTTAATAGTATATATATGTTATTCACTTATTATATTTTTTTTCATTTGCACGTGATTTAAAAAAAAACATTTATTTAATAATCTTAACCGTTATTTTATTTTATCTTATACGCTTTTTACCTTTCGCTTTTTATAATAAAAGATTAATTAAAGCTCTTAGCAATCTCTTTACTTTAGCTCGGCGCTTCGTAAGAGTTATAGCGACGGCGGGCGCCGCCGCGAAAGCGGCAAAAGCAATAGCTAGCGCAAAAGAAGCGACGATAATAAGTATTGCGAGAGCGACGAGAGCTGCGAAGGCTACGGGAGCGACGAGAGCGATAAAGGCGGCTAGCGTAAGCGCAAGCGCAAGAGCTATTATAATAGCAAATTATAGCCTTTGCATAAAGTCCGAGAGGAAGTTCTAATTAAAAGCAATTGCTTAAATTAGATTATTTCGAAAGTTAAAAAGCTTAACTTACGAAAAGGTGATATACTCGAAGCGCTTCGTATCATCGGAGCACGGTTCGCTACTATAAGACTATTTAATCTAATAAAGGCTACATTTAAATTGAAGGTCTTAAGAGCAAAAGCAAAACCTGCAAGACTATCGAGACTACTTCTAAAACCTTTACCTTTATTAGCAAGACCGCCCGGATTATTAGCAACACCTCTTAAAAAAGCAGCATTTAAAGCGAGCTATTATCGCATAGCATTTCGAAGACTTTAGCGAACTTTTTGTATAGCATTATTATCTTTAGCGCTTACGAAGTTTTCGAAAGCGGTGTTAGCAATAATAGAAATAGCGGTGCAATTGCTATAGCTACTTTTAGCATATCGGAGATAGCGAATAACGCTCGTATTGTAAACACCCTGCCTAAAGGGGTACCTGCCATGGCCATTAAGGCTATACTAAACGGACCCATCTTCTATAAAAGGGCACATATCTCTAAGCTAAAACAATCAACGAGCTTTCCACTTATCTTTTTTAGCACTTCTTTATAAGACTATAAGGTTTAGCCTTAATGTTAAGCTTTTATATAACACGTCTTTTTTTAAGTGCTTTTATATTAATGACTTACGCAAAGACTCGAACTTTTGGTCTTTATCCTTATATAGCTTATTATAATCGCTTGATTCGTAATTAAGTTGATCTTCGTTTATCATCTAGCTCCTTTTATACTCGATAAACTACAACTTTAAAACAATTAAAACTCTATTCCCGATAAGTTCGAGCATCGAAACGCCGCAATAGCCGAAGTATAATATTTCGGCTCCTTAATAAAAACTCTTTTTTATTATTAATAAAAAAGAATTTTCACTTATTAATAAAAATACCTTTCTATACCTTAGCTTTCGTCTTAAATTAAAGCAATTGATATAGTCCGGAGTTATTAGCGAAGCTAATCAATTGATTCTTAAGTTTTTTATAGTTTTAATTTTAATTATTAATTTACTTTTGCAAAAGGTCTACTTTTTTTAATCTCGAATCGAAAATACTTTATAAAAATCATTTATTTAATTCGTAAACTCGATTTACGAATTAAAATTAAATAATTTAAAAACCTTTTACCAACCCGATCATTCTTAGCATATATATATATTTGATCTTTAAAATATCGAAAACCTTTTTAAGATTCTTAATATCGAAGTCGGCGCCGAATCACTTTTCTTTTCGTTAGAATTTTTTAAATTTATTAAATCTTTTAATCGTATTCTCGTAAGCTTCGGATCATCTTTATTTTATTTCGACTTTTAACCGAAACTTTTACTTTTAACGGAAACACTTGCTTTAAAAATGCTTTTTAAAACCAATACCGATCTTAAAACTTATATTACTCTTTTTCCTTTTGCTTTTTTATTAAGCTTTATGCTAATTATAATCGACTTTGCTATCTTGCACGCCTTTATGATTGCTCGTATGCTATTATTAAATGCTTTAAAAGCTTTTTGCTTCAATAATGCTAATATTACCGACTTTATTAAAAAGTATAAAAAAATTTATAATAACTTTAATATTTTTAAAAACGATCGCTTCGTTAAGCTCTTTTGTTATTGCAATAACTTTTGCAAAGAAGTTATTAAGAGCTTATTTAAATAAAAAGCTTAAAAAAATTAAGCTGCTTTCGTTAAAGCTTTAAGAGCCGAGTTTCGTAAAAACGATACTTAGCAGATTAAAGATTCGATCGCTTTCTTACGAGAATTTGCTATACAAAAACGAGATATTAATAACTTAAAAAACTATTATCGCACTTTTTTTCAAGTCTTCGAAAAGCTTACTTTAATACATTTTTTAAGCAAGACCGAATAAAGCCGCTTATTTCTTTTCGAATTGCTCGTCGGAATCCGAAACAAAACGATTAAGCATTGCAAGATCGACGAATTCGATATAAACTTTTATGCCGCTTTTAACGACTTCGCTATATTCGCTTTTAAAACCGATTAAAGTATTAAAACTATCGAAGCTATAAATCGAGAAAAGTCTTTTTTAATTAACTTTATTAAAGATATTCGGATTTTAATTAAAAAGCATATCGAGCTAGCTAGCGTGCTTAAGTCCGTTAAAAAAGCTTTAATAATAATGCCGTTCACTTGTAAACTACGATTTACGAATAAAAAAAAAGAAATTAATAAAATAAGTTTTATAATTAAAAAGTTTTTTAAGCTATAAATTAATACAATTTATAATCGAATTAATCACTTCGAAGACCAAGTCGCTAATTTAATTGCTCGACGCTTTATTTAATCTTAGCTTTAAATTCGATTTAAAGATTACGACGAAGCTTTTATTAAGTATACCGCTTAAGATGCTCGAAGTAAAATCAGTTTCGAAAGTAGAGTTTATATTGCTGCTATCGGCTACGGATTATAAAAACGAAAAAAAAAAAAGTAAAAGATACGAGAATTAAATGCAAGATTATAGCTTTTGCAAGAACTTCGAAAACATAACTTAAGCTTTTTATTAATACCGAGATAAATGTGATGTTACGGTGATGATGGCGGTCACGCGGAGGTCACGTTGCCACGCGCCCAAGGTTATACGTTACCTCGTGACCTTGGGCTTCCGTCTTAGCAAGACAGCTTATAAGACCTTTTTTTTTGCACTCGTTCTCTTCCTTTCCTTCTTTATCTTTCTTTCTCATTATTAAGCGTACTTTTAAATAGCATTACAATCATACTGCTTTCGATAGCCGTAATATAAAAAAAGATTAATTCTAACTCGCTAAAAAGCATTGTATTAATCGTTGCTACGCGCAATAAACGGCCAGCACTTTTTATCTTCGAATATTAATGCTTTAATTAAACCTTTTCGCTAATTACAATCTTAAAGAAAGCTGAACTCTTTGCTATTCGACTTGCTTTTGCTATTCGAATACTCTTTAAAACCACTTTTTTCTTTCTTAAAACGATAAGCACGCGCACGGACCGCATACAAACGGTTTTACAAACGTATTAAATTTTTTTTTAAGAGTTTCCGATAGCTAATTGCAAAAAGGATTTTAACGCTCTTTCAATTACGCTACGATTTAATACTTTAATACATATTTTATTTAAAAGCTTTAAAAACGTATACGCTTCGCTTGTATTAATCTTTCCTTTTTTTGCTAAATCATTGTTTAGCATTAGGTTTTTTATTTCGTAAGCCGATTAATAGCTAGCCTTTTCGTTGCATTAACATTTTTACCTTTTTTTACTTATCTTCTTTATATAACAACATATATAAAACAATAACTAGTTATCGTTAAAAAGCTTTACATATTCTTTTCATAGTTAAAGCCAAAGCTTCGTTTGCTAAAACTAAAAGAAAGCTAAGAAATCTATAAAACTTTAAAAGACTTTTAAACTTTATAACCAGCTTTTGCATTGCTTAACTTTTATTACAATTTTCTAATTAAGTAAGCAAATAAGCTTAAAACATTTCACACTTTTTTGCAAAAGTAGCTTACGGAAACAATTAATCGCTTTTTAATTAATTTAGCAACGCGAATTAAATCATATACGTTCGCCGGCTTTATTTTAACTTTTTTTTTTACGAAGCTTTTATTACCGGCGATCGTAAAAGCCTCGATCCTTTTCGAAAGATTCTTATTACTTACGAGCTTTTAATTATCGGTGCTAAAAGCATACGATTAGCGTCGAGATTATATATCGACTTTAATAATATATACATTATTAATAAACATATTTATTATGTTTATCCGCGAACAGCAGCAAGCTATAAAAGCAGTTATCGCGTTAGCGGTAATATTAGCGCTTCGGAAAGCTGCTTAAAGTCTTTTATTATTTTTAGCAGCGAGCCTTCGGCTAACTTTTATTTATTATTTGCTAATCATCGACACTTTTATATTAGCGATAAAGCATAATAAGTTGAAATAGCTTCGAACTTTATTTTTAAATAATTAAAAAGATATAAAGTACGACGCTTAAAAAATAAATATAAAGCTTTTTATTAAAGCTAATTCGAGCAATTTCTGTAAAAGACTCGCGCAAATAAAAGCTTATTTCACTTGCATATTAAAAAAAGCTAAGTCTATCGTTTTAGCTTATATAAACCTTAACGTTAAAAACGTATAAGACGCGGCAAGAGTATTAAAAGCTTTAAACGAACGATTCTTCGATCACAACCGAGTTTAAAAAGCATAACAAAACTATTATAAGCTAATAATATCGAGCAATATGTTTTACAACGAGTTCCGTGTCTTTTTCATACGTTACGCAACAGCAAGCAAGATCTTAAAAGACCGCTAGTTCGAAAACGTATATGAAAAAGTATCTTTAGCATTGAAAATTGATTTTCAAATTATAAAATACAAGATAAACGAAAGCTATAAAGCCTTCGACGAGTACTTCGTTATCGTAGATCGAGAATCGCGTAATATCCGCGCCGAAAAACTAATACTCTTACGACGTACGTCGGTAATAACGTTTAATTAAATAGCTAGCTCTGCATCGAAAAGAGTCTTTCGAAACGCGAATTAACAATCGAGTTCGCAAAGACTATCGCTACGCACTTATTTATTAAGCTTTATACTTTTCCGCTAATCTTTATCGATAATAAAAAAGCGTTAAGAACGCTTTAAAAGCCTTCGCACCGCTAGCTTAAACTCCGTATATTTCAATTATAATAAAAAAAGCTATTTTAAAGCAAATTGCTTAAATATAAAGCTAAAGCAAAAGATAATTAAAATAAATATCGAAAAAGTAAAAAAAGACGACATATTAAAAAACTGCTAAGCCGTAAGAAAAACTCTTATTATAGCATAAGTTATAACTTATAAAAAGATTTAAAATCTAATTTTAATCTTTTCGTAAAAAAAAAGCAGTTTCTAATATCGATGGAACTAGCTCGAAATAGATTATTTATTAAAACAATCGCATATTTTAATAGCAAAGCAAATATCTTCGGCGCTTTTTAAACAGCTTTAGCTTATAAGCTAAGCAAAGGCTAAAGCCTTAAGCGTCCTTTTCTTTAAACTACTTTAGCTAATCGTCTTTACTATCTACGATAATGCTAAAAGAAAACTTATACGCTAAATGATCTTATTAATACTAACAATCGATAAGCGTCGAATTAATTTCCTTTTTTTAATTATTAAATTAAGTTTTACGAACGTGCTACTAAGCCGCAAGTTCCTTAAACACTACGATTTATATTAAAAGTTCGGACCACGCAAGCAGCTATTTTAGCTTTTTAATATGCCGGTCATACTTTACTTCGATTCACGTATTTTTATTAATTTATTACTTTCGTATAAACACGCTTACTAATCTAACGCTTTTAAAAAAAACGCGTTAATAAAAAAAAAAGACCAAGCAAAGCTAGCCTCGGTTACTTCTTTTAATCTTATATTAAGTAATAATAAAAGTTCAATTGGACTTGCAAAAGCACATTTATATAGCG